TTGAATACTGTGAAGGTTTATATTGGTGATATTTGGGGAACAAACTCCGTAGGGAACCAAATCTTTCCTCCCAACAAATAAAGCTTTAAAATACTTGGTATTTTAAAGGCCTGTTGTCATATCAGCATGTTTTGATTTCTAATACATAATATTGCTGTAAAGAGAGCTACAAGCAGATCAAACCTTGACTTGATTAATTTGACATTCGAATTTGTCACTCCATTACCTAATGGACTGCCTACATTTACAGAGCAACTGCAATGTGAATACATATGCATGTGTTACTAGTGTGCCTCAGCTGCAAATAAAGAAAGGTATTCCTAAATGCCATAAAAGCTTCTTAAGGACAGATTGTAGCAAACTTAGAGAGCCCTGTCAAACACTATACAGTCAGAGGGAAACATGAAGTGTCTTTATTTGACTGTGGCTGGGACATGGCAATATTTTTGCGGGTTGATTGAACAAAATGTCCACTCACATTCTGTTTTCTGTCTCTTGTTAAAGACAGCTAAATCACCTATACTCCAGTGAGCATGCAGCATTGGAATAAGAGAAAACACAGTTTACATGGATTAATCATCTATCTCTTCATCTAAGCTACAGGCTGAAAACTATTGCCTTCTTTTTTGTTTTTTTTTTCACAGGTCTAGTTTTCTTTCCAGTCAGTATGAAGATGCATAGTAAATGCAATCTGCTGTTCTGGAAGAAACACTGAGAGCATAAAGAGAATGGGATAATAGCTAGAGGGCTCCATATGTTGATGACAAGGTATGGTATACTGAGAAAGAGATAAGATCAGAATTGTTCTAAGTACCTATGTACCTCATATAAAACTATGAAGGAAATAACATTTTCTAAATGTGCAGCACTGTGCCAAAAGTGCAGGTGAAAAATATTTACTTGAGCACAGACAGATGGGAAGCTGAAGCTGAGACGACATTGGAGATATGCACCATTGTAATTTGAGATTATTAAAAAGCTCCTAGCAAAGCTCCTGAAGGGCCCAGTTCCAAACACCAACACAGAACAGATTGTGCCACTGATAAAGGAGTAAATGCAAGATTCCATTCAAAAATACACTAATCCATTAGTAGACTTGCTTCCACTAATCCGAAGAAATGAAATTGCATTCAAAGGTGAGTGGAATTGTGTGTTGGGATGGCTACTGTTTGCTTGAACTTAGTTCTTTTCCACAAAAGAAATGTTCAGATGAGAAACAAAGGAAAAAATGTAACTGTTGCCCCTTTATGAGTTGTGAGGTGCTGTGCTTTTAGTGTGTAGGGCATTGATGGCAAATAAAAAATATTTCCAAAGGCTGCAGCAGTGAGGTAAGATTTATCTGGGCAGTCAGGACTGTTCTGCATTTCAGTTGATTTGGAGACGATTGTTCCTGGGCTGGTCTATGGTTGTGCATCAGCTCTAGTGTGAATATACTCCAGCTGTGTGTATGAGCTGAGATTTGTTTGTTCATTTAACTCCCAAACATATCAGATTGCACTCTACCATGGAGTTGTCACTCAATGGTTAGGTAAAATACTGTCTTCTATTCAAACTAGTTTTAAAAGCCATATGTTGTTACATTTGTTTCGGCTTTTTTAAATGTGGAAACTGGAAATGAGGTACAGAGGTGCCTTGGTGAACAGATGCTCTGGTAAGACAAATGCTAAATGCATCCACTAAATTAGCAAGTTTCTGAACTTTTAATAAAACTTCATAAAAATCCACTTTTTTTCACAGCCAAGGTTTGTCACATATGATTAGTGTTTTTTCTACACCAAATTGTCGCTGTCTCTGAGTGGAATCTGCCTGAATGAAAATAGGGAAAAATCAGGTGAGAGCTGGATGCTGTTTGAAAAACTGTGACACATGATATCGTGCCCTAAGAAATCATTCTAATTCAACACAAGAGTAATGTTGGTTCCTAAGTGTAACTTGAATTCAGTCCATCAAAAAAGGCTTCTGACTATTCCAAATTTTTAAGTCATGCCATCTTTCAGCTTAATGATCCTTTAATATCAGGCTGCCACTCTGCTGAATATCCTAGAAGTTAAGTACTTACATATACATGGGCTGCAGCTGTAAATGAGATGTCTTCTGTGGACCTTGATAGCCATAAGAGTCAAATCCACCTATGAAATCAACTGAAAGGGGAGAAATTGCTTTCATTAGCAACATCTTTTCAGAACTGATAGGCATTATCATTCAAGAACCACCCAGTACACAGATTATTTTTGACAGGTCCTCTAATAATCTGTTAATATTAGACCAGCTAATTGGGAAGATACAGAAAAACAGTAAAAAAGTAAAGAAAGGCAAAGTATCCCTTTTTTCCCTTTCCTTTTAAAATCCATTCAATTTTAAAACCACATAAAAACAGTAAAGCATTTATAACAACCATCTTTCCACCAGAAATAACCACACATCCCTCTTTTTCAAGTAGACCACCTCACTAATACAACACAACATGCTATTTAGACATTACAACTGCTGAAAACCATTTATTTATGGGCATGAATGCTTCTGACTGATTACTGTGGCTGGCTTGCTGTCATACCATGGCTCAGCAGAGGATGTAGAGGAGAGAGTGCATTGATCCAACTCTGTCTCAGAGACAGAAGTTTCTCTGATTCCCTGTTTTGACATTTGGGTTGAAATGCATGAACAGAGATTTGGAACAATTTATCTGAGATGAAACTTCACAGATGTAAGGAAACCAGCATTTCTCACAAGATGCTGAAGGTCTGCAAGAAGGTTGTAGGGTGGGAGTTATTTATTAATTCACACAATTGCCAGCTTCTGATGGCCTTCTCATGTTTGTTTTAAACAATTTCCAGGAAAATTCAATCTCAGCTGAGCCCAAGACCCCTATATCTCTGCTAAAACACTTTCTTTGCACAGGTAAAATGGTGCCATTTGCTTCCTTTGTCCCAGGAGACTCAACTATCGGCTTATAGGGGTTATTTGGGAGCAGTTCTTGTCCCTGAAGTATTGTCTCTTACATCACAGGTCTGAATTGGACTTTACTTTGATAGAAAAGCACCAAAGAGTTCAGGTATGGAAGTGCATTTTTCACGTCTGGTCAATGCTACTGACAGACTGGCTCTGTGTACATTAAAAGTAAAGAGAAAAAAAGAAAAAGAAAAGGCTATTTGATAGAAAACAACTTCTTGTAGATCTAAAATGCAGTTACAGTCACAAACAACAAAAAAGTAAATTTACATGGTTTGAAAAATTCCACAGTGGTTGGACTCCTTAACACTTGCATTTATAAAGTTGTTTTAATACTAAGGTACCCCCCAATTTGTGCCACACTTAGTCACACTTATCAATACAGTTTCAGCCATTCCAGATATTTACCAAAATATCAAATTCTTATATGCCTCCATTTACCACTTACTCTGCAAGCAAAGAGCTACTAAAACACTGGACTGCCTGGGTACAGTATGTCTCCATTGCAACTGCACACATGTTGAATCTGTCATAAAGTCATTCTTTGCTGGCAAGGATGGCCCCTGCAGAAATAATTTAGCCATTTCTGTGCCCTGTAGCAGCATTATGTGTATTCCTATCCCAGAAAGATGTGTTACTAAATTAATCCCTGACATCTCTAATGAAGGAGGTTCTGTAGCCTCTCCGTGTTGCTTTTCCCTGTGCCTAATTTCCTAATGTCTAATTTAAATGTAATTTCCTGCAAATTAACTACTTATCTATATTTTGGCCTTTTCTCCCTATGGATATGAAGAAAAATGAGGCATTTTTTTCTCTTATAACTTTTTAAACCTTTAAAAAATGTATTTCACACCATCCATTGTTTTCAGGTTTAAGCAAACCTAGTTATTTCAAATTTTTTTCACAGCTCATGTTGTGCAAGCCTCTACATTTTGAATCCTGAAGATACTTCCTCAGTTTACTTATGTTTTTCTTACAGTGGGGTGCACAAATCAGGATTTACTGGGACAACTGCCATACAGTCTTCTGTTCACTACCTGAAATAATTCAGTAGGTTCTGGGGTTTGTATGTTTGGTTGGGATTTTTTTTTCCTTGTTTTTGTTGTTCTTGTTTTGTGTCATTTGGGTTTGGTTTCCAATTTCTTTTTTCAACATCATCACACAAATGCTTAATAATCAGCCCTTTATTTTTTGTTTTGACACTAACTGTAGCCTAGCCTAGTCTATATTTTATTTGAAGATGATTGATTCTTTCCCACAGGAGTTCTTTTGCACTTGTCTGTACTGAATTTCACCTTCTTGATTTCAAGCTACTTCTCAAGATTATTTTGACTTCTAATCCTATATTCACAAGTGCTTGTACCCTTCCCAGTCTAGTTTAATCTTAAAATTTTTACACATATTTTCTCTTCTATCCTCATTGTTGTTAATAAAAATAATGAAGAGAATTATTTCCCTAGCTGAGGTTCTGAAATGTCCCATCTGCTTTGTAACTACATTTCAAATAGAATTTTAAACAGTTCTGCACTCCACCTATGCTGATTGCGTCTGGACAGTACTTTCCTGAACTTCTTACAAAACCTTTTATAATGTCAATATCTTGCTGAAATAAAGACAAATGCTATTTGTTGCATTCCACTTAATCAATGTCTGTAACCATCAGAATACCTTTATCAAAATGTTATCATGTCTATGGGAACATAACTAAGTTTACAGGCAGAAAATGAAGAATATTGTTTAGTGAAGTGCTAGGCTGGGAGAAAAAAAACCCCCACAATTCAAATACAAAGATTGCAGAAAAAAGTATGGACGTATGTTTTGCTGCAGGTATGGTTTGTTGTTTGCTTGCCCAATTTTCTTCTCTTTTTGTTACTCTTGACCCCTGACAACACAAGTCAGAAAATGCCTGTGTTGGATCAGTGCCTCACTGTTGTCAGCTCATGTCACTTTAGGGATATTGCTTATACTCATTTGTCCAGCTTTGCATTTCTTCTTGTACTTTCCTAGAACATTTTATTTCAAGCAACCTGTAAAACATTATTAGTAGGCTGCAGGCATAGACACTCTGCTTTCTAGATGTGGGGCAAAAGCTTGTCTCCAGGGCTGTTTTCAGAAGGCTAAACCAATGTGTTGAGAAAAAGATTTCTTTGAGAAAAATTATTTTGTGTGAGCATGAGGGAAAGATGCGTGCTGAATACCTGTTTGTGCATGGTGGCTTTGCCCTGCTGTACAGAGCAGGCACAGAGTGTTAGTAAGCCAGATTGCCAAGCTGCAAACAAAGCAAGGTTGTAGAGACATTTCTGTGTTCAGCTCACTATAGAAGCTGCCATGTGTGTAACCAAACGATGGCAGGGCAGCGAGTACGACCATGACCTCACTGGAGACATACAATTGCTTCTTGCAGGCAACAACAAGCTTTGCAAGGTAGGTGAAGGGAGGTAATAGAAAGTGAACTCCAGCACAAAAGGATTTCATCAATTTGTTTGCAGCAAGGTTTCTTCAAGCAGCAAGGCAGCTGCTTCTCAGCACTGCGAACCCCGTGGTGTCCAGACTGTGCTAAAAGCTCCCTGTGGACTCTGAGCTGGTTTCTTAAAGCATGCAGCAGGCTGCCCTTTCTGCAGGCATTTTATCCTGGCTGTGCCTGAAAGGTCACTGAAATGTCATACAACTGATACATTCCTGGCAGCCATAACATCAGATGAATAAAACAAGGCTCATTAGCTGAATCAGTACAGAGGTGTCCATCCCTAGCGTCGTACATCAAACACTTTTTTTGACTACTCTACCGTACATTCATCTTACATGTCACTGATATCACAAGAGGCTCATGCTGTGTTTCACTTTAGTAAAAGCACACATGAACTTACAAACAAAATACAATTGCTTTTGTGGTGGTTTGACCCTGGATGAACACCAGTTGTCCACCAAAGCCACTCTGTTGCTTCCCTCCTCAGATGAATAGGAGAGAGAAAATGTAACAAAAGGTTCATGGGTCCACACAGACACAGGGAGAGTTCACTCAGCAATTATCATCACAGGTAAGATAACCTTGAATTATTACCAAAGAAGAGCAATATCATGAGAAATAATGCCAAATATTAAACTTTCTTCCCAGGTTTAACTCCTGATTCTCTGCCTTCTCCACCCCAGTGACATCGGGGAATGAGGAATGGGGGTTGTGGTCAGTTCATCACAAGTCTCTCTGCTGCTCCTTCCTCCTCAGGGGGAGATCTCCTTATATGCTTCCTCTGCTTCAATGTGGGGTCCCTCCTATGGGAGACAGTCCTCCAAAAACTTCTCCAATGTGAATTCCTCCCACAGGCTGTAATTCTTCATGAACTGCTCCAATAGGTCCCTTCCTTGGGATGCAGCTCTTCACAGCCTGCTCCAGTGGGTGCCCCCTCAGGGTCACAAGTCCTGCCAGCAGCCCTGCTCTGGTGTGGGCTCCTCTCTCCTTGGGGCCACAGATCCTTACAGGAGCCTGATCCAGCACGGGCTCCCCACAGGGCCACAGCTTCCTTTGGGCACCCACCTGCTCTGCCTGGGGTCCTGCATGGGCTGGGGTGGATCTCTGCTCCCCCATGGCCCTCCCTGGGCTGCAGGGTTGTTGCTCTCACTCCATTCCACTCTTCAACTGGAGTTATCATGCAATTTTTTTTCCCTTTTTTAATCTCTTATCCCACAGGCACTACCCCTGTCACTGACATGCCAGCAGTAGGTCCATCTTGGAGCTGTGTGACACTGGCTCTATCAGAAGCCACAGGAGAAACTTCTAGTAGCTCTTCACAGAACACACCCCTGTGGCCCCCTTTAAAACCTGGCCATGCAAACCCACCTTTGAAATATTGTGTGCTGAAATTTTTATTTTCCTAGCTGCACTTGAATAGGATAATAGCAGTACTACTTATCTGAAATATGCATTTAAAAAATTTCAGATTATTTTCTTCTTTTGCTTGTGTTAAGGGTCTTGTCAGACATATGACTGTTACAAATGTAACACAAGACATATGGCTCAAAGTAGGACATACTTTCTATCAATAATTACCCACAGGAATGTGAAATTTCAACCTTTGCTCACAGTCAGAGTCCCCACTGTTTCTGCTGTACTTCAGGACAGGATGAGAGGCATAAATGGGTTTCTCATTTTCCATTTCTGGAAGTCTACAGTATCTAGAAGGACCACTAAATGCGA